GAGGGGGTGCTCTCCATCACGTGCCTGGGACACTTGAGAAAGTTTTTCCAAAGTCAGGATGAAACATCCCTCAAGCTTCCCCACCACCATGTAGTATGGATGTTTTCAAGGTTTACCCACGTTGTAGCATGTATCAGAACTTCATTCCCTTTTTTATGGCCAAATGATATTCCATTGCACATCAGTATACTTTAGTTTAGCCATTCATCTGTTCATGAACACTTGTGTAGTTCTCAACTTTTGGTTATTATGAACAGCACTGTTATCAACACTGCATGCCAGTTATCTATTTGAATCCCTTCTTATTGTGGTTTTAATTTGCATTTCCCTAATAACTAAAGATGCTGAGCTTCTGTATACATTATTCTTGGGTAAAGGGTTCAAATCCTTTGTCTATTTTTAGAACTGTTTTGTTTACTTTAAAAAAAAATATGATTGTGTTGTACAAGTTCCTGACCTAAACACAAGTCTTAATGTTGGATATATGTTTTGCAAATATTTTCTCCAAGATGTGGCTCTTTATTTTCATGAGTGGTTTTTGAGGAACAAAGGTTTCTGATTTTGATGAAACCCGATTTGTTGATTTTCTTCTCTTGATAGTTCCTGCGTTTTGTGTCCTAATATTTAAGAACCCTTTCCTAAACCTATGTTCTCTTTTAGAGGTTTATAGTTCAATTTTTAAGTGTATATCTATGATCCATTTTCAGTCAATACCCCTATTCAGTGGGGTACTAACATCAAGGTTGATTTTTCCTTGCATGTAGCTTTCCAGCTGCTCCAGGCCTAGTGATGCTTTAGCACCACTCACTGACTAGAAGCATTAATGGCCCTGTTGCTCTGTCCTCAAATCTGGTTCAGACCTTCAGAGGTTCTGTCTGAACAATTCTGTCTGAACAACCTTTGCATTCTATTGCTTTAACAGTAGCACACACAAGAATTTCCAGTTGTTTCATTTAAACTTCCAGACCTTTCTCCCTTACTGAGTGTCCACAGTGCACCAGGAAGTCTATTATTTGCTGGAGTTATACACAATACAAGTGGTTCCTGGCATTCAAGAAAATAGCTACAAAATTTTGTTTGCATGTTTCATATTTTATCAACTCAAGTCAGAGTATCATATTAATTTTTTAAAATCCAGCTTCTTATTACAGGGGATTTTGAGAGCAGATACAGAATAGTATCTGAAAACTATTGCTAAGGTGGCTCATTTACTTCCATTGCATACTGGTTGATTTATTCAGTTTCCTTCCCAGAGTGTGAGGACTAAAGAGCTGAAAGAGACAAGAAATGCCCAGACCACAGATTATGACCAAAGAATTCTGAGTACAGGTGATGATGATCTGACACATTCAGTGAGGGTACAGTCAGGAAGTTGCCTCTTCTGATCCTTCAACATGGTTATCGGCATGTACAAGCTCAGAAACAGCAGAGTGAGAATTCTCAATCTGTTGGCCTTCTGAATTCTCCCTCTGCTAGGAAGTACTATTCCAGCCAATAATATTTTTATGCTCCTCGTAATATGTGTTTAACCTGGTTAGCTCACAAAGAGAGGAAAATTTTAAGCTAAATAACACAAAGATTGATTTTTCTCCCATTTTAGTTATCAGGGCAGGAGATAGGGAAAATAAAAATATTGGGCAAAATGTCAGAGTATTTTGCCCCAAGGTTGCTAGCACTAGTATCTCACTCATTACCAATTCTCAGCCATTGAATTCCTGCAAATGTTTGGTGTTGTAGAAAACAGAAGATTCAAAATACATGAGCCTTGAGATTAACAGTTTGACCTCAAGTTCATTATCTTCTTGGCTGTCCTTTCTTTTTTTATTCTTTTTTTAGGCTCACTTAATTTTATGTCATAGAGCATCATAAAACTATAAACTGGTGGTCATAACTCTTATGTGGCCTAAACCCAGGGTTCAAAAAATGTTGAATGAATTGCCAGCATTTAATAATTGGGAAATCGCCCATAAAAAAAAATCTGGATTTCCAATTTCTTTCAGCCTGGCAAATCTGGGCTCACATTCCTGTGTGGTCACAGTCAGCTAAACTCTAGTACCAGTTGCTTCCTTTAAGACCAGCCATTTAGGCTCCAATCTCTCCCCAGTTGGCTTTCCTATGGCACCTTTCCCTCCTGGGTCCTTTAAGACAGTGGTTCTTGAACCTGGCTTCAAATACTGGAATCACATGAAGAACTTCAAAAGCTACTCATGACTCTGTTCCAGCCCCCAAAGATTTTGATATAATCTGTCTGTTGTGTAATCCAGGCATTGGGATTTTTATAAGCTCCCCAGGCAATTCCAAAATTGAGGACCCGTCTAAAAGCATCTCAGATTTTAACTTGCATACAGAACACCTGGGGACCTCGTTAAAATGCAGATTGTGATTCAGCAGATCTGGGATTCTGCATATCTAGCAAGCTCGTACACAGTGCCCCTGCTGCGGGCTGTAAGACAAAGGCTTGAAGGCATTTGCTCTTGTTTAATTTTGATTTTGACCCCGAATGACAGACTTAGGTTTCAAGTCTAACAGAAGTTTATTCTTCTTGTTTTAAGTTGTTTATTTATATTTATTTCTGGCTCTTCTGGGTCTTTGCTGCTGCATGTGAGCTTTCTCTAGTTCAGCGCGTGGGGGCTACCCTCTAGCTGTGGTGCATATGCTTCTCATTGCACTGGCTTCTCTTGTTGCTGAGCACAAGCTCAGTAGTTGTGAGGCAAAGGCTTACATGTGCAATCTTCCTGCACCAGGGATTGAATCAGTGCCCCCTGTATTGGCAGGAAGACTCTCAACCCACCCGGGAAGTCCTAACGGAAGCTTATTCTAGCACTCCTGTCATTGAAGTAGCTGGAGTGATGGTGACAAACGAGAATACCCTACTGGTCCTCTTTGAGGAGGGTACTTCTCAGCTTGCTGTGGCCTCTGAAAGCCTTTCAGTGTTAGGGGCCCTGGACCCCTGTGGGTCTGCCTTCTGAGCCACCTTCGCTGTCACCAACTATAATATCGTGTCACCACACGATAAATCCTCTCTCCCTTTGGAAAACTGTACCTCCTTTGACATTTTGAGCTCTTTGATGGTGGCACTGCTGCCAGCCACCAGTTCGGCTATTACTGATTGAACGGTGGTGTTGGCGCATTTATTTGAGCATTTTATTGCAGTGGTTTCAGTTTGTGTTTCCAGATGCCTAAGGCCTGGCGCAATGGTTCTCACACCCCAGCATGACACTTGGAAGGCATATTAAAACAGATTCACAGGCTCTACCCCCAGTATGTCTATTTCACTGAAGAGGGAATTTGTACTTCCAACAAATTCCCAAGAAGTAATGCCATGGCAGGTCCAAAGACCTTGGTCTCACCTCTTGGTCTCACCACATGGCTTCTTAGAACAGTTACATTTTGGGAGTCCAGATAAGATTAGATTAAAGGCAAAGGTTATTTTTTTTAAATCTGAATACTGCTATTCTGGTGACTTTCGCTTTTATTATTCAAGCTAGTAGAAAATGAATAAATATTTGAATATTAGTGAAATGGTGAAGAGGTATCAATTTAACAGAGATGAAGCAAAGGCTAAAATTATTCAATTTATGGAAAGAGAGCCATTTGTCCTTCCATGCAACACTGTATGGACTTATGCTATGTGTTCAAATATGATAGAAAAAATATATATATACTGGAAATAGGTGACTGAAGTCTATCTAGAAAAGGAAGCTTGATCAAGGATTTCATGCTATTTTTAGTTTAGGGAGACTGGAACCCCACTAGAGCAGTATATAAGTGTCTTTCCAGGAACTCATTATGTAGGAAAAGAGACAGCTGGTAAGGTTTCTTCCGGCCCATGCCTAACAGAAATACAGCAAATGTCATAGCAGTTATATCTCAGCTTATTGGATTGGATAAAAGTTATTCTGTCACAGGGTGAGGCCCCTCCTTTCATTTACAAAGTTCACTGTATGAGGTCCTTCATTTCACAGAATGTGTGGGAATGATGTAGCTTGGTAAACTTCATATTTACTTTTAAATGAAGTAGATTCTTACACAAGAGGTAGCTGTCTGCTTTTGTATCTCCACCTCAAGAAATACGTTGGAATAACAAAAATGCCAGGCCTGAAGACCCTAAAGCAGAACTAGGCTGTCATACAGAATGTGAGTCACCTTTAGGGATGATTGTATTTCCTAAGGACAGTCAATAAATTTCAGGATATTCTTCATCTACTTCCATCGCCCGTTAAAAAGAAAGAAAAGGAAAGAAAAAAACCCCAGAAAATTCAAAAAACCCACCAAATTCAAAGTTTGACAAAATTAAGTTATTGGTTAAAAAAAAGAAAAGTAATATTCTTGCAAGGAAATTGGGAATAGGGCTTTAGGGCAAGTCAGCTGGGCGGGTGCAGGTCTCGAAACCGCAGAAAGAGGAATTTGGGAAGGGGTTTTTAAAAGGCGGACTATTACATGTTTTCATGGGTGAAAGAGGAACAGAGGGGGTGGTGGCATCCCATCGTACCGTCAGAGGAAGGTTTGTATCAACAGCAGATTTTTTTTGAGCAACTAAAATAATGAGCACTAGCTGGAAAATGTGCATAGAAAGTTAACAAATTTAAGGAATTTTCAATTCACGTGAGCTTCCTCCCACCGACCCCGCGAGCAACTGCGGTCTGCCTGAGCGACCTACATTTGCTCCATCATCTCAGGACTGGGACGCATTAGTCAGCGTGCGCCCTCCTCATAAAACTCTGCCCTTCTGGCGGGCCCGCCTGGCTCCCGGGGGCAGCAGTGCCAGCCAGGCTCCTGGAGTTCGAGGCAGGCTGCGGGCGCCCGTCCCTCCGGTTCACCCTTTCACCCCTCCTTCACCCCCAGGCGCCACGCGGGGTGGCGCGGTTTTTCCGCCCACCCCCGCGGCCGCACTGGCCTAGCCGAGAACTGCAGGGCCTCCGGCTTTGGCGAGCCTGGACTCCGAGTCCTCCCCGCCCCAGCCACTGCGCTGGGACGTTGGGGGCTCGAAAGAGGCTGGGATGTGTTTCAAGACACCGCGATTAGAGACGCAGCTTCTAAGTCTGAACTCGTCCTCGGTCTCTCCCAGACCCGCCGCCTCCGGTCTCGAAGACGCCCGGCAGCCGGCTCAGCCCCAGGCGGGGAGCAACCTGGCCGGCCCGGCGGGCGAAAACCCAGAGCACTCGGCCGGGTCGCCCAGGGCATCCCCGCGGCTGGGGGCGGAAGGCGAGCCGGGCCGCAGGAAGGGTCAGCCGGGTCCGAGCTCCGCCCAGCTGGCTCGCAGGCCACGCGGTGAATGGCAGCGGCGGAGGGCGCGGTGCCAGCGGAGAGGGGCGGAGCCGCGGGCGCTGGTTGGCGCGGGCTCGGAGGCGGGGCGCGCGGGGCGGGGCCGGAGGCGGGGTCGCTGCCGGGCGCTGGAGCTGCGGGCGCGCGGAGAGGAGTCGCGAGCAGCTGGAGCGGAGTTGGAGGAAGCGGCGGCTTACGGGTGGCAGCGGGTTGGAGACGGCGAGCTCGGGTCGCGAACGGCTGGCGGATCTGAGCTGGGTCAGGGGCTCATCGGAGCCGTGCGCGCCAGAGGCTGCCGGTGCAGCCTGGGCCCAGCAGAGGAAGGAAGCCGGCCGGCCGGGGAGGTAGGCGGCGGCAGCGGGTCCGGGTGTGTGCTCGGGAGGGGGAGGCGGTGCGTGCGCGCGGCCACAGCCGCTCTCTTCCTGTCACCAGCAGCCGCTTCTCCTTCTGCAGAACCGAGCCGGGGGAAGCGAGCCGGCCGCCGTCCTCCCTGCCGCTGGCATCTGCCGCCCTCCGGGCAGGCGCGGGTCCCCTTCGCGGCCAGCGTCCCCGCGTGCTCCCGGCTCCCTCGCGGCTCCGTTTCCCTGGTCCTCTTCCGAGCTGGGTGTGCGCGCCGCCGGGAGCATTCGTCCCCGGAGTTGCAGGCGAACTCGGGCTTCCGCCACCTCTCCGTCACCGTACACTTTCCTGAGGGTTCCCCCAGTCTCCCGGCTGCAGTTTTCCGGAGCCCTTCAGCGGAGGAGAGCTCCCTGACCGCCGCCTTCGCGATAGCGGGCCGGATCTCTGCTTTCCCCCGCGCTCTCCGGCTGCACCCGGGTCTCTGCCCGGGCTCTTCCCCGGGGCGGGCGGGGGTCCCAGGAGCTCGCCCGCGGCCCCCGCCCTTCGAAGTTTGCCTCCCTCCTCTTCCGGGGTGGGGGAAGTGTGCCTCGGGGCGGCCGGTCGCTGGGGCCCCACTCGGCGTGTGATGCCGCCCGGGCCTGTGGCAGGTTGTTGGAGGCAGATTTAATGGGGTCTTCGGACAGCCCGGAAATCTAGCTTTTTGTAACGTGAGGCGAGACCGGGGGGACTGGCCCCGCAATATGGAGCCGGCTAGAGGGAGCGAGAGAGCGTGGAAGCCCGAGCTGAAAGATCGTGCGGGAATTGTCTGGAATCCACAGCTCTTACGCTCACTTCTCAAGGGCAGAAACTGCCCGGCAGATCACAAGACAAAGAGAACAGGAAAGCTCAGGCCAACCGCTCCAGTGCAGAAATGTACTTTGGTAACCAGATTCGATCGTGTATTGAAAGGGTGTGAGCGGAATGGCTGTTACATGTTGAATGCAAAATGTGTGTGAACTGGATTTGGGGAAATTCTGCTTCTCTGGACGCAGTTAATATCAGAAAGCTCTCATTTTTACCGTTAATCTCTGGTTTAGCTGCAGCACTGCTGGTATATAAGTGTGAGTTTACTGGGTTTGGGGGTTTTATGACTTTAGAAGCGATAGGGGTTTTTCCGGCCTTTTCTTCCCCCCCCCCCTCCAGTTCTTTCCTCTTTGTCAGTCTGTGCGAAGTACGAAAGGATAAAACAGTTCCGGGTTTTGAACGCAGCATTAGGCTGTCATTTCAGTGTGATGGGGCTGAAGTTTTAGTTGTTAGGCGGGATATTCACAATGTAAGTGACCCAGGCGTTCTGTGAAGTGGGTTTTTTTGCCTTTTTTTTTTTTTTTTATTAGCTTGTGTTGCGTTTTGGCAAGTTTAAAGGTGATTAGGTGTTAGTTAGAAAAGGTCAGAATAGGTAGGTATCGCTAGAATAGGCCAGAGTAGGAAGACAGGTTTATCAGTCATCATCAGGAATTTGGTGACTTCTACACAGAAGGCCCCAAACATTGAAATCGTTGAAACACACAAATCATTGAAAGAGAGAGAAAAAAAGCACTCCTAGCCATAATTTCTTGATAGAGTACACTGTCTTGAAATAGTTTTTTAAAAGCAGTAGATGATAGTTTTCTTAGGAACAAGAGTTACTTAAGCTTTGGGAAGTAAGTGTTTTTGGTCATTCCAGAGAAAATACCCAGAGTAATTTTTTTTTTTTTTTTTTTTGAGGGATCCCTCTTCAATTTGGAAAGATATGTTTGGTTCAGGATCAGGTTTAAACTGGAAAGGCCTGTGGAGGAGGCTCTCTGCCTTGCAGAAATGATGGGTTATGTCAACTACTGGCCTCTTTAGCTTCTATATGCCAATTGCAACTACAGAGTTGTACTTTTTCCATAGAAGTATATAAATTTTTGTGAATGGAAGAAAGTTTTGTATATCTGATACTGGCTTTCAAAGTGTGTTATCATGTAGCTTTTTAACTTTCATCTTGATTCTGGACCTGTTCTTGTCAGTTGCATAACATATTTGCATTGTACACATTACTATCTGCTGTTTTATCTGCTTTTGTAAAATGATGGTATCACTGTGTCTTTTCACCTCTGTGATGCAGAGAGCCGACATGCATTGATTAATTGTATTGTCTTTCTCTAGCTGTGTCTTTAAATTTATTAAGAACGGTAAACCCTAAAGTATTAAGTTGATTTGGGAAATAGAAGTGGTACAGTAAGTCATAGGTGATACATATTTTGCTTATTGACAGTGGTGGTGTAGTGCAGATTTATCTGCTGGATATGTTAACTGCACCTAAGCTGGTTCTAGAGGGTTTTGTATTTTCATACAAGCCTGCTCCACTTACTCAAATTTTGTGTTGTTAAAAGTTTTGCTCATATCTTTAATTAAAATTTCATGAATGCCATGTAATTCTTAGGCTAGTATGTTGGTCAAAATCTTTCTTAGGTATTTTAAGGGAGTATTCTAAAAAGATATCTAATCTGAAAGATTGTCCACTTGCTTATTAAAACAGGAACAATTCTAGTTCAGCTCCCATTGTGTTTGCATTTTGTCATATGCAAAATGAATTTTAGTGAAGAGGTGGTCAATGAGCAGATTAAAAAAACTTTCATGGTCAGGTAGAATATTGAAAGCTAAGATCATGTTTGCATTTGGTGTTTTGCTTTTAATTCTCCCACAACTGAGGCATGCACAACGCAGAAGAAAAGGGGAAGTGCCTTTTTTAGTATATTATACATTTAAACGGGCTCCCCACAGCTCTTCTGTATTTTTGGAGGACACAGGAATTTGCCAGTGAAGGCAAGAGAATAGAGTGTCCTAGTGAAACCCTTAGGAGCCCTTACTTATCAATGGAAGGAAGGGGTTATCACCTTAGAAGGCAAGGCATAATATCAACTATATGACGGCCTTTAATAAAAAACTTAGCCTGTAATTCATTTTTGAAATATTCATCCTATTCCTTTTTCCACCCACCCCTCTGCATCCCGGTCTCCTCCACCTACACCCTAATGTGATTACCTGCCATGATTCTGCCAACACTCTTATTGGAATTACTTGCTTAAGAAAGTGGCAGTTAAAGGCTATTTCACATACATGATGCCAAAGCAGCTGAAAATAGACTGTAATTACTCCTAACCATGTCTGTTTGGGTGAGGTTAGGGTTTTTGTGTATTTGAAAGGATAGAGTGAGTGTAATATACCTTTTGCTTAAAAGAAAAATCCTAGTATAAAAACATCTTTGGAGACTTTATCCTCCCAGCATTGTTTTCCTGTAACTATATCTATACACATGTGCTCCTCACCCCCACTCCCCCCACCCCCCACACCTGTAGTCAAAATGGTGTTCATCGTGATAATCACCCCAGAGAGTATTGCAGTCAAAGGAGTCTGGCAGAAGGGAGGAGAGAGTGAAGAAAGGGAGGTGTCTGGGCCAGGCTGGACCCCTCTCCCTCACTGGACTTCAGTGGTCCCACCCTGGGCTCAGCCTTAGGAACTCGGGCTGCAACAGGAGCAGCCCCTGCTCTCAGTCCCTGGAGAATTGTGTGAGCGGGATCACCTGTTTCCTTTGAAGGCAGATAGGAAAGCCGGCCACCACAGCTTCCTGAAGAGGAGTGTTGTCCCCTAACTCCACCCGCTCCTCATCCCACCCTCTCACACAGCCCTGGCCCCTCCCAGGTCTCCTCAGCCCTGACCTCTGCAGAGCCGCTCTCTGCCCCAGCACTAGATGGACAAAGTCCACAAGCACCCTTATCTGTCTGTCTATTTACTCTGAAAAGGAGTTAAAGAAACGGAGTTTTATTTTGGCTAGCTTCAGGAATCTTTCTATACAGTTTGCAGAGCTTGGAAGCAGTGCCAAAGAAAAATTCTTGGCAAATGTTTCCAGTTTTAAATAGGAATTGTATAAGTAGCAATCAATGCTAATAATAACGATAGGAATAACAATACTGCTGCTACAGCTGGGATTTACTAGCTGTCTGACCTGAGGCACGCTATTTAACTTCTCTGTGCTGATTCTCCTATCTGTAAAATGGAGATGATAAACTGTCCCCAGAATGCAAGGATTAAATGAGTTGATATGTACAAAACTAGAAGGACAGTGCCTGGCCCCTAGTAAGCGCTGTGTCGGTGTTAATTATATTAAGCTCTGATTATCAAGCCCAGAGCTCAGTCTCTGTATAAATAATTTCCTTTCATCTTCATAATGAACAGTGGCACAGAGAGGTTTAAGAGACTTGGTCAAGTTTGAAAATCTAGGCCCCAGTGGGGACAAGCATTTTTGAGTGTGAAGTCCAGTGCTTACACTCACCTGCTTGCTGAGAATTTTCCACAGTAACATCCTATTTTCCCAAGAGGAGAGACGCTAGAGTGTCTTCTTCCGCCCTGCCATTCCAGGGCGGCCTCCTCTCAGGGCTTCCTTGCCCGGGGTGATGCAGAGAACTGGAATGGTCCACCCCAGGGCCTTTTCTGGGTGACAGGATGTGTTTCTCAGGCTCTGGAAGCCGCAGCCTCCCTGTGATGACCACTGAGCCTGAGAAATGCGTCCAGCTGGGGCTGTGTTTCTGCGCCTCCGGCAGTGCTGGCGCCATCCCATCACTTTGCTTTCTGGAGAGCCCCATGTCCTTGTTGTTTGACCAGGGCTTGTCCTGTCCCCACACACCCAGCCCCCAGAGAGCCTGCGGGCAGGAGTCGTGGCTCAGATGCCCAGCTCCCCCAGAGCATGGCAGCCTGGCGCTCGTTCTGGTTGGTTTGAAAAATGAATGGGAAAAAAAAAAAAAAAGAAAAATGAATGGAGATACTTGAGGATGCTGATTTGGGACTTCATCCCAGCCCATCATTTTATTTTGATTGAGATGAAATTCACACCCCATAAAATTTTACCCTGAGCCCAGCATTTTAAGTTGAAATTCATTATGTTTAATAAGAAAATTTGATTTTCACGATTTCCAGGACACCATATTTGAAAGGGGAAAAGATTTTT